GTACAAAGCACGTCGGTAACAGCGACTAAATCACTGCACCAACATCACCCCAAGATTTAGCTAGGACAAGGGGACAACGCATAATGAGACTAGTCCATGGCAAAAGACGATAACTAATTTGCAAGATTCCGCACCTCTACACAAGATGCGAATGGGTTTGCTCGAATTCAATGTGTAATCATCTAGGATAAATTTGAGGTCTCTGGCTTGATCAACCTTGATTGTTTGATTAGAGGGAATCAAAGTACGGAAGAGTGAGCATGGTGAAGAGATATCCGCATATCTTGGCGAAATTACAAGCGAGAATTTCGACTGTTTGTGGTGACTTCATATCGACCAGGGATTCCCGCACCGGGTAAACTTAGGGCGCTGTACATCACGGAAGAGATTATTTTCACAATGAAGAGTAGTATTCTAAAACACCATCCTAAATTCCAGAAACCCACTAATGCTTGATTAATAGGTGTCAGCGAAGCTTTGGACTCCATCTACAGAGAGTCGCTTTGGTCTGTACTACGAAACGACGGAATGCTGACAAAAATTCTTATCCCCCTGATGTCATACTACTTACCAATCCGGACGCGAGTTTGTGCTTATGGAAGAGTCCCCCAAAATTCAGATTAGGCTGTGGAGTTTGACAGAGATGGTCGTATTTAGCTACGTCATCAATTGGGTGATGGAATGGGCCTTTGAAGATTTCCGACAGGTACACTGTAGTTTGGATTGCCCACCTCGAGTTTACAAACGACCTTTTAGTGCTAGGAGAGGAGATGCCCTTGTGAACTCACAACGGATATGAAGGTGGTCTGAATTCAGGTGCATCACTGCAACCGCCTTATTGTTTTCCAGGTCGCCATGCTTGTGTGAATACTAGGAAAGTTCGTTATGAATTCCCATGGAACCTACTATCATCATTAACGTACGGCGGAATACAGTGAAGCGAACTTCACTGATCGCTGTCACGGAACTTAATAAATTATTTATGAAGCCGAATCATACTTTCACGGGACCCAAACCGAAGTGAAGTGAGTAAAAAATAGTGTTTTGCATAACTTCATCAATTCATGTTTTATGATTACGACTATCGCTTCATTAAAACACACGGGTAAAGTCTTCTTGACCACTTAGTAATGACAGTGATTGTAATGTTACCACATAGGCAGCTCTGTTGTCGTCCGGTTCAACACCACGCCTAACATAGCGGGGCCTTATGTGGTTCGCCACTCCAAGTCCCGGGGCCTGGGTTGCCAGTTT